CAGGGATGTGGAGCCGTGAAAATTTCAGACGGCTTCGGCTCCGGAGGAGAAAATCGGCTCCAGCTCCGGCTCCGGCTCCGAATAAAATGGTCGGGCTCCGGCGGCTCCGGTTCCGGCTCCGACTCAGTACATCCCCACAAAGGTCAGCACGGCTCCCTTCGCGCATTCCCTCGAAGGCTTGCAGCTTCGAGCAGGGAGCCAGGGCGAGTGCTGAAGATCCCTGGTCTACCGTGGACTGAGAGTAAAATCTAGAAAAAAATTACACGATCCTGTGCTTATAATATCTTCATGAATTTATTGAATTGGCAATATTTACACACAAGAAACATTCCATAAATCAATTTGAAGAGTAAAGTACGTCTGCGGAAAGTCAGTTCGCAAAATCAATATATTGATTAACCAGCTGATTTCAGAATCAAAATAATGATTAGCCAGCTGTTTGCGGAATCAAAATATTGATTCTCGCCGGGATTAGCAGCCCTGATGAATCAATATCTTGATTATTTTTTAACCCTCGCATGTGTAGGGGGGGGGGGGGTCGGATGGACCCCCCCATGGTTTTTCGCGAATAACTCGCGTAAAAAGCGACCGATCGCGACGAAACTTTCAGTACCCTCACATTGATCAATTTTACACCTACCCTGACAATTCAATGACCCTGACCCAAATGACCTTTGACCTGTGACCTCTTTTCCGAGACCATGTTTGGCCAGAATCGCGATTCTGCGTATGTCGGCTCGCATTAGCCGCGCGTTTGCAAGCTTTTCGTGGTTTCAAACGTTCAAACATGTGATTTGATGTTGCTTCCATGCATTAGGGTGGGTGTCAAGGTCACCTGAAGGTCAGGTCAGGTCATTGACCTTTGGTGACCTCGGGTGACCTTGGTTCACTTTTTCGAGCTGTACATGTTTCTAGGCTAGTTTTTGGAGCTGAATTCGAATTTAGCAACCATTTGAACATTTACGAAGTAGTTTTGGTGCCTTCGTAACATGTTACGAAGCTGTCAGAGGCGGTTGACACGTACTACGAATACTCGTCACGATGCCTACTGGTTGACCTGACCTGACCTGACCCGACCTAGTCTAAATGCTTAAAGACATCATCTGTGGTCAAAACTAACACGATATTCGTGATCAGCACCCCGAAAAAACCCTTAGAAGCCACACTTTACGACTTTCTAACAGGTCCCGATTTTCCCGACTTTGAGTCATTGACCTGACCTGGAAGGTCACCCAATGACCTAGGACCTTAAAATTGGGTATCATCGGCTTCCTCTCGTCACGGGCAGCACGCTCGTTTTTTCCGCGAAGCTCTAGCTCGATCAGGGGCCAAACGGCAAGGGGGGGGTCCAACCGACCCCCCCCCCTACACATTAGAAGCTGGCAAACGCCGCACACATGCGAGGGTTAAGACGCTTTCCTAAACTAACCAAAGAGGTGAGGGCTATTGTTTCGTGCCTGGTGGGCAGCTTCAACGTTGTTCTTCATTTTGTGGAGAAACTATCTTGAAATTATAGCCGGTTGCTGAAGAATTGACGTTTCTGTGATGGTCTGCAAGTATGCCCATATATGGTCAAAGCTCCGCCCACTAGAATCAATATTTTGATGCCTCCATATTCTAATTCCCGCCGCCTAGTTTGCCAAACTGAACTGGGCCGATTGCGCTGAAAGTTGGCATGTAGGTAAGCAATAAGCAGGCACCCACAAGGTAATGCATATCCATGTGCACACAGTTGGGGTGCTGCTGCACATGCGCATGTGCAGGGGTCGATTCCATATCTCGAGAACGGCTGAACCGATTGCGCTGATATTTGGTACCTACACGGTTAGGGACCGGTCAGCAGGGTGCCGTGCAAAAGTCATTGGAACCCATTGTGCACGTGTGCACACTGCACGTGCAGGGTGCTGCTTCCAGATCTCGAGAACAGCTAGGCCGATTGCGCTCAAATTTGGCACATAGTTAGGGACCGGTTAGTAGGGTGCAGACTGCAGTACACAAGTTAGTTGGAGGTACCCCCTCGCAATTCCGCACGTGCAAGGCCCACCCTCTCGCTCGCTCCGTTGGTCGCCCCAAGACGCGTTTTACTGGGTACAATATCCTGCCTCGTAAGTCAGCAACTAAAAGAGCTAGAAGGTCGTTAAAAAAACAATTGATGGCTTACTTAAAGGAAAAGGGCCACCTTCGTGAAATATGAAGATATCGTTGTTTTTCATTTTGACATTATTATTTTTCATTTTCTTTTTAAAACTGGTGCCAGAAGTGCACAATTCGCGAAAAAGTATTTAAAACTATTTAACATATTGGTACTATGTTGATACTCTCTACGGCACCTACTGTATGATGGCATAGCGATGACATCACACTCAAGCCAATCAGCGTTCAGAAGACAGACTCGTCGGATTGTGTCAGATAAGCTGATTGGTTAAAGCTGAGCTGGTTGGAGCTGATTGGTAAAAAACCAAAGCCTCGCCGCGGGTGGCTGTATTGTCGGATAAGAACGCATTCCTGGGATAAGGACGCATTCCTGACGTATTTTCTTTTAAAATTGCCGATAACTACGAATGGAGGCCGAAATCGGCCGTTAGGAGGTAGACAGATAGGTTTTCGGACACGGGCTACAAGATGGCTATCTCAGTTTCAATCCCCATGCTAAAGGTGGCCCTTTTCCTTTAAAGTTATTTCCAACAGAAAGGCACGATTCTGACCGTAGGTCACCGTTCAGCCTGGTCAGGAAAAGAAGGAAATGTTGGATATTGCATCAGCCATGGCGAGCGGTGACATTTTGCGGGAAACGTTTTCAACAATAACTTTTGACTCAAATCTTGCACGAGCATAATTTTACCGGCATCGTGTTCCTCTCGTCAAGACGCGTATGAACGTCAAGACGCGAATCAACTATATTTTCACATTGAAACTTATGACCTCAGGCCAAGGTCGTCAGTCGTCACCTGGCCAGAAAAGGTCGTCATGCATACCAATCGATCCGTATCGTCGAGCTGAACACACGTAAGGTGTTTTCATCGCTCTACCATGCCTCTATCAGAAGTTCTTAGCGAAAAACTGTTACATACCTCTCGTGACCTGAGATGACCTCAGGGACACAACGAGGGGTCACGGGCGCCATTTCCCGGTTCAGTGAGTCATGTGTACAGTAAATCGGTGATTGCGAGTGTTTAGAATGACGTTCCTCCAAAATAGTCGCCTTTCAACTTTCACCCATTGACTTGCAGGTAATGGGAAGGTCGCAAAATTGACCTGAACTTGGGTCACTGATATCAAAATTGGGAGATATACAAATTGCTAATTTACTATCTTATGTAATACCTTAAGTTTCAATTTTCTAGAACATACACTGTAGAAATGAAAGGATCATAAAGTGTTTGAGAGACATGGTCACATCACTTAGACTCGTGACCTGCGATCACAAATAGGTCCGAAATGATCCGAAATTGCTGTATCATAAGGTAGACAGAGTTTCGCAGCGCTGCGCGCCGCGGTTTTCGTTACACACGCAAAAAACTGTCAGGTATGGCCAAAAACGCCCCAAACTCTCCACCCCCACAAAAAGCTGGGACCAAAACGCCCCCCTCCACCCTCCCCCCCACAAGGGAAGATTTACGGCCTTTACAGACATTCTTGAAATTTTCATGTTTTTTTTTTTCAAATTAACCTTCAAGGAGGCTAATCACGTGTTGACTTATCATATTGCGTAGTTCAAACCTACGCAGTACGCATGCTGCATTGGCTGTAAGCAGCATGCTGATTGGCTGACGATAACGTGGCTGCATTCCTCAGCAAGGCACGCTTTCCTCTACAAGGCAAATTTTACGGAACGCGAAATGGAAAATCTTCGTCTAGGGTGATCGTTGGGCCGTAAAAGCTCCTGATTGTGCTAGTGTCAGCTCAAGCTACGAAGCTGCTATTCCAGTTCAAAACCCCACGTTAAAAGTGAACTATTTCCTTTAATTTGCACTAGTCGTGTCTGGCCTGAGTGGAAGAGAGCAATCACTCCGGTGCTCAGCGAGCTTGGCTGGGAGCGTATCGATGACATGGCGCGTGCAAACGATCTTGCCGCGGTCCACGGGCTGCTCAGCTCGGACCGTCCACCCGGTATACTGCGCGGCCGCGGTCCACGGGCTGCTCAGCTCGGACAGTCCACCCGGTATACTGCGCGGCCGCGGTCCACGGGCTGCTCAGCTCGGACAGTCCACCCGGTATACTGCGCGGCCGCGGTACACGGGCTGCTCAGCTCGGACAGTCCACCCGGCATACCTACTGCGCGGCCGCGGTTCACGGGCTGCTCAGCCCGGACAGTCCACCCGGCATACCTACTGCGCGGCCGCGGTCCACGGGCTGCTCAGCTCGGACAGTCCACCCGGCATACCTACTGCGCGGCAGGCTGGTGCTGCGGTCCGACGCGTCGGTTCGTAGTACACGCGCGACTGAGGGTAGGCAGCGGCAGCTACCCCGAGTGAAGACCGAGTTTGCCCGTCGCGGCTTTTTATTCGGCGCCAGTAAGCTGTGGAATGATACTTCCAAATGAATGTAAAATAAAGGTAAGTTTTACCGGTGCCGCTGTGATCCTTCGTTTTCTTTGTTTTATTCTGTAAAAAAACACTTTAAGTCAACGGTGTCATGCTTTTCCAACTTTTGTTGAATTGACGTGGGAAGTGGGAACCGTAAAACCCATTATATGGAGGTGCCTATTAAACTGTCCGTCTGTCTGTCTGTCTGTCTGTGTCTGTCTGTGTGTCTGTCTGTCTGTCGGTCTGTCTGTCTGTGTGTCTGTCTGTCTGTCTGTCTGTCTGTCTGTCTCCGTGTCTGCCTGGTCGGTCCTTTATATTCGGTCCCATACATTACATCAGATATATCGTGAGGAAACTAGGCGTCGCAAATCTATAATTTGACTTCTGACGTTCACAGTGACGTCATTTCAAGTGGTGATGGAGAAGACAGCGGCCGGTGATCGGGTTCTCACTGAACACAGCCTGTTCACTCACCTTCCTCGGCTGCGGGTGTGAGTTCAGCGGCAGGAACGTGATCATCTCCTGGTACGAAAACTCGTCCTTCTCCGTGCACTGGATCACTCCGTCCAGAATCAGAGTGCGCCCAAACGCCTTACTGCAACCAAACAGCCAGATTCAGAGTGCGCCCAAACGTCTTACTGCAACCAAACAGCCAGAATCAGAGAGCGCCCAAACGGCTTACTGCAACCAAACAGCCAGAATCAGAGAGCGCCCAAACGCCTTACTGCAACCAAACAGCCAGATTCAGAGTGCGTTTCAAAGTCTTGCAGAAACCAGTTCAAACGCCTCACTGCAACCAAACAACCGGAAATAGAGTGCGCCCAAACGCTTCATTAATCTCTGGTCGCCAGTAGCGGCGCTTGGGTTAAAATTCAGGTGAGGCACTCGTATATGGACTTATAACCTAAGTAGGTACAACAATACCCGCAGAATACATATATCCCTTCTACTTTTGTATAGTAATAAAATATACAGGACACCTTGGCTCACTTTACGTGACGATATTGTCATGCAATGGTTGGGGCAGTAGGCATTGCGCATTGCTTACCGATGGAATCACTGATTGTCGTAACCGCGCCAGAAACGTACTCGATCTAAGTGAGCTGCCGATGTGCCATATATAAAACGCCTCGAGTTTTAGTCTTTAGGCATAGGCGAGGCACTGCTTCACAGCTCAAGTTTTTCCAACGGAGGCCGCTGCTCCCTTTGGCACTTCCAACATTTTTTTAAAGAAAAAAGTAAGGCATAATAAGACAATTCCCTGAACTATTTCACACTGTAGTCACTGGCGGATCCAGACTTGCGTTTTGGGGGGGGGGGGGCCAACTCGTGCAAGGAGCCAAACCTAGGGTACCCCCAAATCCTGTTTTCTCATCGGATTTAGGCCACTTATTTTTCGTCACAGCCCTGAAACGATAATTTTTTTAAACTAAAAAAATAGAGAGAGAAATGGTAGCCCACTCAACCCGTGCCTTAATATTACTTTGAAAACACTTCAAATTGCTTTTGTCGACCACCGCTCCGGGTCGGTGCTTGGCGCAGCCTTCGCGGGCTGGGAGGTGTCGGTTGAACCTCTCTGCCGTTCGGCCCCTGATCAAGCTAGAGCTCGCGGAAAAAACGAGTGTGTTGCCTGTGAGTGACGAGAGGAAGCCGATGATACCCGATTTTAAGGTCCTTGGTCATTGGTTGACCTTCCAGGGCGGTGTTTCACGGTCGCGCTGCCAGCCGCTGCCAGCGCATTCCGTGAGCTAAGGTCAACCTTCGGTAGTGTTGTAGGTATAGGCTAGTTGATGTCTCCATGAAAACCAAAAGTGCCAACAGCGCTGGCAGCGTGCCGTGAAACACCGCCCAGGTCAGGTCACAGACCCAAAAGACGGGAAAATCAGGGCCTGTCAGAACCTCCTAAAGTAAGGCTGTAATAGATTTTTTTGTGCTGATCACGAATTTCATGTTAGTTTGGATCATAGATGATGTCTTCATGCCTTTAGGCCATGTCGGGGCAGGCCAGGTCAGGTCAACCAGGTCAACCAGTACTTATGGGCGTCCGTGTAGCAGGTGTCCGACTACCACTGGCAGCCACGTAACATGATACGAAGGCATCAAAACTACTTCGTAAATGTTCAAATGGTTGCTAAATGCTAAATTCAAAATCAGCTAAACGAAACTATCCTAGAAACATGTTAAACTCGGAAAAGTGCACCGAGGTCATCAAAGGTCAATGACCTGACTTGACCCTAAGGTGACATTGACACCTACCACAATGGTTGGGACCAACATCATTTCACATGTTTGAGCGTTTTAACCCTCGCCGGACCTATTGGTTTTCTACATACGCGCCGGCCGAGGGGGGGGGGCGGGTACGACCCCCCCCTCGCCGTTTCGCCCCTGGTGGAGCTAGCGCGTCGCGGAAAAAACGAGCGTGTGCGCCGTTACGAGACGCAGAGATTGGTACCCGATTTTAAGGTCCTAGGTCAACCGGTGACCTCTGAGGTCAGGTCAAGTGCCCCAGGGTACGGTTCAGTTTTTGGCGAATAACTTCGCAAAAAACGGCCGCAGAGCCGCGATTTTGGCAGCATCGTGTTCGCCTCGCTCAGGCGCGTCGAATGATATACTATTTGTTCGGGTCAGGTCAACTTAGGGTGTTGACCTCAGGTCAAGGTCAGGTCAGCACCCCCAGGTCACGAAGTTGGTCGAAAGAGGTCATGTCGCATATCATTCGATCCGGCAGGTCTTCCTGAGTCCATTGGTGGCTTTCTCGACTCGCTAGCTCAATTTGATCGGGAGTTATTGACGAAAAACTAATATGACCTTGATGACGTCATAAATGACGTCACGGAAGGTCAACATTGCAAAAGTGACGCATCTAACCTTGCAAGGAGTGCATCAAATCACGATTCTGTGTGCTTGAGATAGTTGGAGATCGTTCCCGGCGCCAGAATAGCAGTTTGAATTTTTCCCCATTGACTTATAATGGTGAGGTCACGAAAATGACCTGACCTCATATGACCTTTAGGAAAAATCCGAGATATACAAGTTGTGAGACTCATAATGGATACTAGATCCTGCAAGTTTCATTTCCCTGTGACATCTCCTCTGGCAGTGAGGGCGTTGCAAAGTTGCGACATCTGAAGACCGTGCAGAGGTTCACTTATGACGTCATAGGTCAGTGACCTGACCTGACCCAAAAATGCGGTTGGTGTCAAAAGATGCGGCTTGGATCAAAGGTCAGGTATGCCAAGTTTCAGCTCTCTATCGCCAGCGTGTTCGGAGCTATCGCGAAAAAACCCTATGGGGGGGGCGGCACCCGCCCCCCCCCCTCGGCCGGCGAGGGTTAAACCACGAAAAGACTGTAAACGAGCGGATAATGTGAGCCGACATACGCGGAATCGCGATTCCGGCCAAACATGGCCTCAAACATGGCCAAACATATGGTGCGTTCGGAGAGGCACATTCCACGTGGAATCCGTGGAATACTCCATGCGCGCGGAACATTCCCGGAGATTGGCCGTTCAGAGAGATACGCCTCCGAACGCGGCACGGGGAATATTCCAGGGGACGGTGAATATTCCATGCTCTCCGAACGCACGGATAGTCTCGAGAAATAGGCCACAGGTCAAAGGTCACTTGGGTCAGGGTCATGAAATTTTCAGACTTTGTCAACATGAGGGTGCTAAAGTTTCGTCGCGATCGGATTCATGATAACTTACACGATAACTTCACGCGTCGATCGAGAGGTAAAGTATGCAATAAGAACTTCTTGGGTGAAGACGAGACCAACACTCAAGCTCACATATTTTTAATGATACGGTAGTTTCTACCTACTACGCTACTTTCTCACATTCATATTTCTTAAGTGTTTTTGGGGGCCAAAATACATGTTGCCCCCTTTCAGGCTTGGGGGCATGACCCCGTGGCCCCCCTGGATCCGCTAGGCCGAAACTAACTAGGCCGTTTTCAAACGGTCTGATATTTCAGGTCATGGTTTGCAAACGGCCGGTGTTTTCAGGCTGTTTCATATGCCCTGACTGGGCCAGGCCGTTTGCAAACGGACAATTTTCATACGGCCTGTAACATATATTCATATTTCACCATCTGTCGCAGCATCAAATGCTGATGTGGTGCACTCAAAAGCCGGAATTGGTCCTTGGATGCCGTAAGGACCCTTTTAAGAAATAAGTGACCCGACTGACCCCTTAGAGATTGGCCTGAGCTCTGACCGAAATAAGTCTTTTACCGTTTCACGGGAAGGGACAAAAAGGTCCCTGATATGCTTCTTGTACAATTACCAAACAAAACGACCATAATTTACGACCAGTTATTTAGGCATGTTGCCCCGGTACTATGCACTGAGCAGCATGGCTTCGTACCGCGGAGATCATGTATCACAAACCTTGCTGTGTACCTCAAGGCTGCGTGGGAGGCCATTTCGGACGGTTATCAGACGGACGCTATATATACAGATTATTCGGCCGCCTTTCAAAGCGTGAACCATTCGCTTCTTCTTCATAAACTAAATCAGTCCTACAAACTTGAAGGAATTGCTTTAAATTGGTTCGTCTCGTATCTGTCCGGAAGACGTCAGAGGGTCATTGTGAATGGCAAAACGTCAAATTGGACGTCAGTTCTGTCTGGAGTTCCCGAAGGATCCCTTTTGGCACCACTTTTGTTTTCACTATTCATTAACGATTTACCGCAAGAAATTAACGCCGGCTGCCTTATGTACGCCGACGACGTTAAAATTTTCCGCAAAATTGTCTCGCCATCTGACGGACCACTGCTGCAGGCCGACCTCGACCGACTCGCTGCCTGGTCTGTCAGGTGGGGACTCGCCCTAAACCCAAGAAAATGCAAGTCATTCACGATCACTCTCAGGCGTGCACCCGTCCAAACCCATTATTTCATCAATGCCACTGAGCTCGAGCACGTTGGAGAAATCAGAGACCTCGGCATCACACTAGACACGAAGCTCACATTCGCCTCACATGTCAACGAAATTGTTAAAAAGGCGAACCGTGGCCTAGGATTGCTCATTCGATCATTTCAAACCGGCCGAAAAACAAATTTTGACACCAACGCACTACTCTGTGCGTACTTCTCCAACGTCCGCTCGATTTTAGAATACGGCAGCGTGATATGGGCGGGTGCGGCTGAAACCCACACGGTGCGGATCGATCGAGTGCAGCACAAGTTTCTGATGTGGCTTTGTGCGCATACGTCCTCTCGACACCTCTCATCGCTGTCATATGCCGATCTCTTAAGCCACTTCCGACTGCCACGCCTATCTTCCCGAAGAGTCCAGCACGATTTGATGTTCATGCGAAACCTTTTTGGTTCACGTCATGACTCCGGGCTCTTACTCAGCAGTTTCGGCATGCATGCACCCACCCGATCGGTCCGCACCAGCAGACTTTTTTATGAACCCTGTCCACGTGTGAACACTATGAAGCGAGGTTTGTTTGTGAGATTGTCACACGTGGCGAACTCCTTTTTACGTAGCTCACCAGAAGCAGATTTTTTTGCTGATGCTCCTGGCGCTTTTAAAAAGCATGTTGTGAAGTACATAACATCTATTTAGCGCAGTGTCTTTTACAACACTATTTTACTTTATTCCTTTTTTTGCAGTATATCTTTTCCTATCATCTCTTCCCGTTCATTTTTTACGTTTTAATCCTTGTCATATTTGACATTTTAGATATATAGGCAAGGCATAGCATATCGAGCTCATACAATCGTTTATCGGGCGTGGTTGTTATTGTCTGCATGAGGTGTGTGTGTATGTGTGTGTGTGTGCGTGTGTGTTTTTTGTGACTTCACCTGTAAGTGGGGGTTGCCCTGTTGGTGATAGAATAAATAAATAAATAAAAATAAATAAATAAACAAGCTTTTCAGCGCCAACTCAGTGAGTGTTCCTAAAAAATTATTGCGCATATTCCGTGAATGAAAAATTGCCGGGTCATGTCAGGTCAGGCTGCCAGAGCAAGTTTGTTAACTTGACAGTTCAATCGATATGTATGCAATAAGACCTTCTCGGGTGACGACAAGACATGACGACACTTTATGAAGGAAGCTAGTAAACCAGGTAGTTTCTCCATAGGCGCGGGAACCGGGGCAGTGGGGACAGCTTGCCCACCCCCCAACTATGGGGCCGTGGGGGCGGTGCCCCCACAACTTTCAGACGGAATACCCCATTTTTTGCAAATGTGTTCTTTTTTTTTGTTGAAAAAAGCCAAGGGATGAAAAATAAGTGGCCCAAAACCGGTGAGAAAACTAGATTCGGGGGGACCCTAGGTTGATCTCTGTTATGGTGTGCCCCCCCCCCCCCCCAGTCTGAAAGTAGTTCCCGCACCCCTGAGTTTCTCTACGCTATTGAATCACGCCGGTGATTCTAACTTTTAGGTATCTACTACGCAACCTTCTCACATTAATTTTTGTTCAAGCGTTTTGGGAGGGGGGCCAAAAGATATGTTGGCCCCCCTTTCAGGCTTTTGGGGGGCCATGGCCCCGGTGGCCCCCTCCCTGAATCCACCAGTGGGGGGCGGTGCCACCACAACTTTCAGACGGAATACCGCCCTTTTTGCAAATGTTTTCTTTTTTTGTTGAAAAAGCCAAGAGATGAAAAATAAGTGGCCTAAAACCGGTGAGAAACTAGATTTGGGGGGACCCTAGGTTGATCTCTATTATGGTGTGCCCCCCCCCAGTCTGAAAGTAGTTCCCGCACCCCTGACTTTCTCTACGCTATTGAATCACGCTGCTGATTCTAGTAGGTATCTACTACGCAACCATCTCACATTAATTTTTCTTCAAGCGTTTTGGGGGGGGCCAAAAGATATGTTGGCCCCCCCTTTCAGGCTTTTGGGGGGGGGGGGGCCATGGCCCCGGTGGCCCCCCCTGGATCCGCCAGTGACTGTAGTCACACTGTGGTTTTTGCATTTATTGCTTAGTCATGGGTCTCAGTGTGCGATTGTGACACTTTTGAATACATCATGTGAATGCGAAACGTTGGGTAATTTCTTGCATTTTTATCCCCTTTTAAAATAAATTCAAAAGTTTAGGCCATACATGCACTATTCTATGCCAAATCAACACATTCTTGGGCCACTACTATTTACCAGTAAAACGCCTTTTGGGCGAAGAACGAGCGAGCGAGATAGTGAGCCCTGCACGTGCGGAAGGGCCAGAGGGTGCTTTCAACGGGCTTGCGCAAAGCACCCTTCTAACTGGTCGCTAGCGGTGTGCCAAATTTGAACGCAATCGGCCCAGCCGTTCCTGAGATCTGGAAGCGGCATTCTGCACGTGCGCACGTGCAAACGGGGTCCAAAATGACTTTTGCACGGCACCCTACTAACTGGTCCCCAACCGTGTACCAAATTTGAGCGCAATCGGCCCAGCCGTTCTCGAGATCTGGAAACGCCCCCTGCACGTGTGCACGTGCAGTAGCACCCTAACCGCAACACATGGGAATGCATTGCCTGGTGGGTGCCTACCTGTATGCCAAGTTTCAGCGAAATCGCCCCAGTAATTACCAAGTTACTGAAATGGGAACAAATTTGGCACCTCTTAACACGCGCAGTGGAAGGGGGGCGGATTTCGCCCACCCCTCCTGTTTTTCGCCAATAACTCGCGCCGCAAGCATAATATCAATGTGAAATTTCGGCTACCTGTCCAGAATTGAATTGCGGATCTTCTCGTGCAAGAAGTAAGAAAATCCGTTCACAACTTTTCTAGTAATAGCGGTGTAAAGCCAAACATCCTGCCACCGCGGCGGCGCGGCGGCGCGGCGGCCGGCGCTAGCCGTTACGCGCCGCCTGAATTGTAGACTGTGCCGGGGCGGGACGGTTCCGTCTTTACATCGAGCTCCTTACCGCTGATTATATTAGATTCGCGTCAAATTCGGTGAGAAGACTGAGAAATGTACAGGCAATCATATGGTCAAAGAATTTTGAAAATCGGCCGGTAACAACTTGAGTTATGAGTGTGTAAACACAAAATTGTGATTGCCGCGTTTCCCGCGTCGGCCGATGCCGCTTCAGCCGGCGACATCTTACCCTTAGCAGGCTTCTAACTGCCATATTTATTGTTGGATTAACTAGAAATTCACCATACATACTCGCAAATGTTTGCTCTTTCGTATAGTGAAAGATTTAAAAAATTGGCCGGTAACTTTTTGAGTTATCGGCGTGTAAACGCAAAAAAGTCGCTAATATGGCAGATTTGACCACATTTGACCTCATTTGACCTTGAAGATATTGACTTAAGGCCTGGCTACACTATGCGTTTTCTGCGTGCGTTTTTTGCAGGTTTGCGTTTTTTCCGTAATATCGTTCTAGAAAAAAGTCATAAATGATATAACTTTTCCATTAGTTGGATACAGAAGTTAATATAATTTTGATATTAACTAAAATTTAATATAAAAAAACATCACAAAACCGTAATATCGTTATTTTTCTAGAACGATATCACGCAAAACACGCAAACCCGCAAAAAACGCACGCAGAAAACGCATAGTGTAGCCAGGCCTTTAGGGTCATGAAATTCACACACAACAGAGTTCCCCATGGCCCCCACCTACCCTCCAAATTTCGTCTTTCTAGCTCCAGTGGGAGCTGAGATCTTAGGGGGGGGGGCGACATCCGCCCCCCCTTCCACTGGGCGTAGTACTCGCAACCCTTCCACTGCGCGTGTTAATGTTGTATTTTGCACGTGCACTGGGAGTGACCCACATGCATCGAGAGTATCCTATTTTGGGTAGAAGGGATGCTGCTACCCTATAAAAATTACCGCAAGTCAATCGCTCAAGCGGCTGCTGAGATATGAGCCTCTCAAAATCACTACTTTTGCAAAACAGCTTGAACACCCTTGACTTTTCACGTGGCACGTGCCACGACGGTCACTGAGATGTATCAAAAGTAGTCAATTACGGGGTAGAAGGGATGGGGCTACCCAACAAAAAAGACCGCAGGCCAATCGGTCCAGCGGTTGCTGAGATATAAGCCTCTCAAAAGCGTTACAGGCCGGGCCGGGCCGGGCCGCTCATACTGAGATTTTTCCGTTATATTGAAAAGACTCACTTCGCTCGCTGCGCTCGCTCGCTCGTAATCAAAGTCAACCGCCAATACGAGGCACCCGCCGCCGATCGGCATGCATTTAGTTCACAAAGTTCGTCGACCCCGGCTCTAAATGAAGATCAAAGAACCGATCAAAATTTCATTGGCGTTTTTCCAGCGCGTGTCACGTGCCAACCGTTCACCCCAGCGAGTGGAAACCTAGAAAAGGCACTGACCCGTTCTGTCACCTAGACGGTGTGCAAATTTCAGCCCCCTATGACATACCGTCTGGCCTGTAGGCGAGTCAAATTGAACCCACTACACGGCGTGGCGAACAAACAAACAAACAAACAGACGGATCCTGTTCAAATAGTAAGATACTGACTGATGATGATGATGATGATGATGATTTATTTCCAAGGCGTCATTTCTATTCATTCCTTTTGCTTATCCCGTCCCGTATTCATGTCTGCACTTGAAGCAAACCGATAAGCTTACAAAATCTGACTATATCGACGCAATGCCAATATGGTAACAATAGTGTGACAGCGCAAGGTTACCATACAACACATATCGAACCACCTATGCATTTATCCTTGGGTAACATGCATACAGATTTTAATTTAATAACTTACATACCTTTGGATGACCATGATGTCTTGAAATTTCGATTTTTCATGGAAGAGCACCTCTTCTACTTCAAGAGAAAGACACTGTCCCGGCCAAAGGGTGCTTAGCTCGCTGAACCATCCAGTCTTGATGTCATCCATGTCATATAGAACGAGGCACTGAAATGCCAAGGACAATCCCGAGTAAATAGGCCTGTCACATTTTGCAATAATTATAGTGATACGCAATTTGCATCCTGCTGGAGGTGGAAGGTGCTTGAACACTCCCCCCGCTCCGTTTTTTATATAGAAAATCTCAAGCGCCGCAATTTTTGGCACATCTTATCATTCATCTTTTTCTACACATGCTGTGGAAATTTCAGACCAACGTCACTCAAGGTCAGGTCACCAGGTAACGTCAAGTGACCTCACCTCATTAACCCGCGCCCCACTGGGGGGGGGGGGGCTATTCATAGCCCCTCCCGTTTTCTGCAATAACTTCTAAACCGCTTGACGTATCGCCGCCAAACTTTCAGTACCTTCGGCTGCATCAATTTGACACCTTGTGTCAAAATTTGAATTTCGTATCTATCATAGGTCGGCCGGAAATGACGTCAGAGTGACGTCATGTTCGGCCGATTTCGACGCAAAACATTGAACCACGGGAATCGCTCCCAAGAGCTCAGTTTTTTAGCTAGATCCAATTTGAGTTGTAATGTGACAATTATTTCATAAATATGCAAGATATTACAACAAAAATTACCCGACGTTTCGTTTATTTTAACTTTTTCAAGGGTAATTACCCTATTACATAGTAGTATTCAAGGGTAATTACCCTTGAAAAGGTTAAAATAAACGAAACGTCGGGTAATTTTTGTTGTAATATCTTGCATATTTATGAAATAATAGATCCAATTTCTTTGCATGAGAGGACTCAGAATGAACTGCGCTATCAAACTGCTGTCTCGAATTGTCAAAACTTTTAAAATTTCGAAAATTATATATATATATATAAATTAAAATTTGTATTATCCTTTTTCAAAAACGTTTTGACTTTTCAAAAAAAAAAACGGAATATATATGATAGCAAATATGCTTATGACTTACTCTAGCAAGTTTTAGCCAGATCGTTAGGCGGCACGGGCGGACATCGATAGCAGCGCCTCTATCGGTCACTAGGGAAAGCTGGGCTGTAGGCGACGATATACCGGCTGAGTTGTCACACGTTGAATAGGTTTATAGCCATCCGTCTTGTGAAAAAGTTGAACTTTTGCCTTTAATATTTCTACAGGCAATTTTAGAAGTGTCTTCACATGGATTACAAAACTGTTTAGATTATTGTATTCACTCCAAGCCTTCCCTATTGTTCTTGATGATGCGGGAACTATTTCTAATTAGTGTTTCTAGCTTAGTAAAAGAACATTCTGTGCAAATGATGAAAAAAACATAAATGGAAGATTTTAAATGCAATTTTCTCTGACAATTAATGGTAAATTCTCTACATATCAAGGAAAAGGTGCATGCTAACTGATAATTTAAAGTTCTTGGGGCCAGTTGTTTTCTTCTTTTCTTACGTCGCCCCAATGGCCGCGAATACACTTGTGATAACACCTATCGTATCTTCAAAAATGGCCAAGTCATACGCATTATAACAAAAAGTTAACAATTTTTTTTTTCAAATCAATTTTTCTGTACGAATTTGACATCGTACACCAATATAAATAGCAACATCGTGTTCCGGAGCTCAAACTGCATCTGATAGACATGTTTTTTGTTGAAAAATATCAACTTTGAAATTTGACCTTTTTTGACCTGAGTGACCTGACCTCTGCTATATTCAGATGAAAATGGCCTCAAATGACACAGGCGACACCGAATTCGAAAACTATGGCCTAAATGGACCATAAAACATGTGTCACGTGACCGACTTATGACATAAGATTTCCGTGACCTATGATGACCTGACCCTGACCTGAAAATCAAAGTACAAGTTTGGTACCCTCAGGGTATCTAAAGCATCTGTTCACGAGTGTGTAAACCAAAAATCAGCCTGATCTGGCTTGTAAGACGGCAGCCAGAGCCCAAAAAGTGAACAATCCAAATATCGATAATTTTTACTTTGACCTGAACTGTGACGTCATCGGTGACCTCGAGGTCAATGAAATTAGGTTCCACTTGACAGTTTTTCCGGGGCTATCAGATTCCGTTTGAATTTTGTTTGACGATCGGCCCAGTAGTTTCGGAGTTAGGAGGGGGGGGGGGGGGCTATGAAATATGAATAGCCCCCCCCCCCAGTGGAACGTGTTATACACAGACCCCAACGGGACGCGGATTAAGCATTTAGACCAGACAAGATATCTTGGCTTGCTACGCGTCGCGTTGGCCATAAAATAATTAAGGAAAAAATGCTAATGAACTGAAAACTTGCTAATTTTCTTGGTATTTACAGCCTAAATACCGTGAAAGTCTTATAAACCTAATTTACCTATCCCCAATGTTTCCTTGTGTTAATCATTTACAACGATATTAATTCGTTCAAATACCGAATTTCTAGTGCCTAATGATATTACAATTTGTGTACCTACCTACCTACCTACCTATTCTAACGTCTAATCAGGGTTTGCCTATTCTAATGTCTATGTAATGGACGCATAGTTTATTGACAGCACCGTGAACGCGGTGCTGTCGAGGTCGGACGCGCCCGGCGCCGCTCCGCTCGACCCGTAGGTAACCCCGGGTGACCCAGCTGTGGCGAGCGGCCGCGAGTGGCGCGGGAGAAGGTCGGCAGTGCTGCGCGGAGGTTATATGCCATTGCAGTTTTTCGGTGTAATGGCCCAGTGATTTAGAAGGAGAGCGCGGTTATTTGGCCTATCGGTGAATGTCGCTACTGGTGGAGGTACCGACGCTTTGATACTTGTGAGGTACTGTGAGTGACAATGAACCGCCCGGAGCGACGCGACAGCGCCGTCGACGGGTCGGAGCCTGTGTCTCGCCCTTTGAGCCGAGGCTCATCAGTGAGCCAACTGGTGAAGAGCTATGACGACGTCTCCAGTGGCAAACGGAACCGGTCCGGGTCGGGGGATTCGCCAGCTCCAACCGGCAAGAGAGGCGCCCCAGATCGTGAAAGAGAGACAAGTCGCAGTCCCCTGTCGGCTCAATCATCCGTCAGGGAACATCTGGACGCGGCGCTTGAATCTCTAGAAAACAGAATGACCGTCTTCATATCGTCTGAGCTCCACTCGTTGCGTGACGTCATCCAGTCTCAATTGGAGGCATTGTCGACGAGGATGAGCGATCTGGAGCGCCACATTGAGACCAGGGATCAATCAAGTCATAGACGATCTCAGCCAGCAGTTAGATAAGTCAAGAGAGGAAATAGTCAGGATCTAGGCTAGAGCCGAGGAGTCTGAGATGATTTCACGGCTCCCGTGCCTCATCCTGTCCGGAGGGGCCATGGCTGCCCGTCACGCGCCCCGGCTACCGGTGCGGCGGGCCGGCGCGGCGCCCCGGAGCGGCCGCCCGGGTCAGCCGGGTCGGATCCCGGCGATACGACCGGATCCGTTGGCGCCGGCGGGGCGGCGCGCGGGGAGCGTCCGATGAATGCCGAAAACGTGTCGGAGCAGCCTGAGGACATCAACGCGCTAGTGGTGCGTAAACCAGAACTTAAATGGTCTCAATTAGAGGTGGCAAAAGATGAAAATTTTTGGGAACCAGACTCGAACCAGACCCGGCTGGACATTTCTGGAAACAGTCGGACCCGGTCTTAGTTGAAATCGGAACCAGTTGGACCCGTTCCCCAAAAGTCAATCAATACAAACTACTTGTAGGTATCATTAGTTGCATCATGTAAAACAGCCTACTTCCCACTGGCGATACTCATGAGCTACTGTGTGCAAAGAAACATTCACTTCATTCACTTCATATTTTGCAATAATGTGTAGTGTGCAAGATGTATAGTTTATGGTAGGACCTGGTTGAACCCGTCAGAAAATTTCCAGGAACCGGTCTGGACCCATATGGGTCCAGACTGGTTCTTTGGACCGGGCCCTCGGGTCCACATTTTGCCACCTCTAGTCTCAATATGTGCGAGAACGACATCGACCGGGCCCATCGACAGCCCGGTCCAAATAACAAAGTAATCGTGCGCTTTGTTCGCTCCGGTGCCGGCAGTGTGCGCGATAGGGTGATGTGGCGTCGCCTGGAGTTGTACGGGAAGGATCTGTACGTGAACGAAACCTTACACCGCTGAGAGGCAAAATCTACCGTAGCCTGCTCAACGCAAGAAGGGAGAAGAAGCTGCACACGGTGTTTACGCGCGGCGGCCAGGTATTCTACAAACCGGAGAAGTTCGCGGCGAGCGTCAGGGTGAATTCGCTGGATAAACTGCGAGAACACGGGTTCTCTGTGGAAGACGAGCGGCCGCGAACGGGCGGTGCGGCTCGCGGTCGCGGCGGCGGCGGGTGCCTCGATACCGCCCACCGGGAGGCGGTGGTCCGCCGATGAGCTGACTGGTCGGCGCCGGCGACGGGCCCGCTGCTGCTGCGGCGCGCCGGGCCGGCTTCTGTTCGAGACAGGGCTGTGTCTCGCCGAATCCTGGATCGGCGCTGGTGCAACTTTACGACACGTTCGGTAACAGGGTTGCATGCAGGTTGACGTTGTACCGGCTCTAGCAGTTCAGCGGGGGCCTGTCCCCCCCCCCGATATCATATACATTCCTCTTCCTGTTAAATACATCCTGGAGATTTAAGAAAGCTGTCTGATAGTATGTATTCACTTGTCTCGGTTTCGCACTCACAAACTAAAATGGCAGGGGCCAAAGAGGGCATGGCTGGGGGGGGGGGGGGCTGGGATGCAAGTTTCGGGGTTCGGCGTGACTTGTTTTCGACAGTGAAATGACCTGTTGAGATCGCAAGTAGTAATAAATCAACGTTCACTTGTACCACAGTCGTTGTTTGTGAAACTGTCAAAGAGTTGATATAATTGGTACCAATTGAAGTATCCGCATATAAATGTGATTTGGATATAAATGCATATAAATGCAATTTGCCTGTAATGACATTTAACATGTTTCATCGACTGGGCCAAATGGCCGCGTTCGCCTTATAAGTTTCAGAGTTTTTTATATTTCTTATTGCCTTTCCTTACCATGCTGTTATCGCACTGTGCTTCAAATGTTTGCC